GACATTATCGTTAGAGCAGTTTTTACTTTTCCTTTTCCTGTCGCCGGAGGGAAAAGTGTAGTTATGGAAACACAACAATTGCATTTATTTATTCAAAAAATTATGATATATTTTCAGACTTATTAATATTAAATGTACGTAAGTGTTGCATTCTGAAAATTGAAGCCGTGCAACGATGAACTAGACCCTGTTAAAGTATTTACCTACTCTCGATTTAGGCGATGACCTTGGCGAAGACGGTGTTATTAGATTTCCTGATGCGCCTATTTCAGTTACCGCAGTTTCGTTTAAATTTAATATTCGGCTAGCATTCTCTTTTTTGTTGCGAATCGACTCTTCTATGTATCCTTCTGCTACGGAAGTCGACCTCCAACCCCCGTGGCGCTTCTACGACTCCATACTTCCTCCACCATCGATGAGTAATGTAGCCGAAGTACGCCTTAAACAGTGACCCGTATATTCTTGGACATTGCCTAATTTTAGAAATTCGGCGACTTTTCTGGGTACAGCACTGATCGTATGAATCCCCATCACATTTTTATAGCACTTCCCATTCTGATATTTCAAAAAAAACCTCTCTTGCATATCTCTCGGTCTTAATGACGTGTACTTGTGGTAAATATTCATGAACATTTCTCCGATGATGGTAAACGAGCGCACTTTTTTCGTTTTGCTATCGGGAATTTTTATTAGGATTCAATTTTCCAACTCTTCAATGTCGCCTATATTCATTTTCATCATTTCATCACCGGATTTCGACGGTCCGATGCGCGATACTGCTTCATTCGCCTCAACGGCAATTTCGGGCGGCGTGCATTGCATTCTAAAATTAACTAATTTACACTATTTTTTAGTGATTTAATTAACTTACTTCTTTCTTATCGAGAAATCTTTCTTATTCAAAATTACGAACTGACATGTAATTTTTTCACTCAATAAGATTATTTACTGCGTAACCAAGGAAACAGCACCTATCTATTCATGTAAAAGAAAAGAAACTTACCTACTTGACAATGACGTTTAATTTAACGAAAGCGATTAATATCCCTTAAAAATCTTGTGTTTTGGATAAATTTGCGGAAGTTTGAAGAAAAAATAGCATATTTTATTTGGAGGAGAAGTTACTTTTCATGGCTTGCCTTCTATTAGCCGCCGAACGGAGTGAGGCGGCTAAACACAGGCGCGCCATGAAAAGTAATACTTCTCCTCCACATAATAGTACATTATATATCAAGGTAGAGAAGTCCACTATTATTGCCTGAGCACCAAGATTACATCTCGAGGCGCTTGCGCCGAGGGGTGTAAGGTGCGAAGGCAATAATAGACTTCTCTACCGTGGTATATATACTATTTTTTTCACTACTAGCACTTGAAATCCTCTAAATTAACATATTATATTGATAAGAGAGTTAACGGTTGGACAGAATTGTTTGTTTCTTAATTTAACATGTCAATCAAGTACGTGGAAGTACAAGTCAAACAGGCCGTATTTTGTTCTGTCATTGAGATTTTTCAAAGAGTAATTTCGTTCGATTTTTTTCAAAATGTGATAATTTTAGGTATGTAATTTCTCTGGAAATTGCGAATGGTGGCAATTATTCGTTTTAGAGAACTTGTCTAAACGTTCATTGAGCGAAATTTCGGGTTGTGTTTTCTAAAAGTGACAGCGTGACAGTTCTCATTATTGACTACTAGTTAATAATAAAAAATTATTAACCACTTTGAACAAATGCCGAGAAAGCCTACTTTACAAGTGGAAAAAAGGTTAATAATCATGTCATCAGACGCTAGTAGTGAAAAAAACAATGTACTTTTAATTAAATTCATTGAGAAGTGCCGGTGTTTCTTTCCACGATAAAATTCGATTAAAGATCCAGAGATCGAGTAGAAAAGTTTTCTTGAAGCTGTCGAAGTGCGTCGGAATATCGCACGACCGTTGTTACGACCATATTAAGGGATTGTTATTTGAAAACATGTAAGAATTTTAAGATCTTTGTTTATTTATGTCGACCACCGGCGTATGGGGGTGGATGTAATAAGCGTGTGCCTCTCTTTATTTAGAGTTTTTTCTTTGATTATTTATTGCGTTTTCAACACTTCTGCGCTACTAGAAATGAATGTCAAATTATCAACACTGGTCGTGGATACATTGATTGGTCCGATAAATAATCGCCGTGTATATGAACAACCCACGATTTCAGTACACGATAAATTACGTCGCTGTCGCATAATGTGCAAACGCCCTTACGGTTTACGAGATCTCCATAGCGAAAAAGAAAAAAACTCACCCTGTATACAATTTTTGTGCGAAATCTACTAAATTAAGCATATTCATGGACACGAAATACTCCGTAGTATAATGGCAACTGATATTCATTTTTAATTAGCTACTAATTCCCACTCAGGTTCGTTAATAGTTTAAGAAAGCTCGAATAATTAATCTGTTAAGTAGAGGCGGATAAAATTATTATTAGAGATTGTACTTAATTTTTAAGCGACATTTCCGGAACTGGCGACTTGAGATCTGTCGCTGAAATTGTTATGGCAAATCGAGTGAAACTACTAATGTCAGGTTTAGTAGTTAACCAGCTGGAAATTAACGTGGAAAATTTTGGATTCTGTTTATTTAGGTACAAACGTGTCACAAATAGCTCTAGTCATCCCCATTGTTATGGTACGAGGACATTAACTTGATTTGTTTGCGCGAAGAAATATATATTGGTCTCGCCTTCTGTAAGTTTGATAATTATTCGTTTTCTTGTCCCCTTAACCTACTTCAGACGGAGGAAATTCAAAACCGAATCCCAAACGCCCCGTCAATAAAACATTCCAAATTTAGAAAGTTAATATTAAAAGTGTGTCAATTTGATCTACGAAAAGGGACGAACACAAATTCACAACTTTGTTTTTTCTTAGTTCTATCTGAAATGTAGAGGACCCTTATAAAAGTTTCACTTTTCGAAATGGCAGTTTATTTAGTCTGTGCTTAAAAAACCGTATATGCGTGTTTTTGTTTGTGTCGAAATTGAATGTCGATAACCAAAGGGGATTTCGTTAGGGGTTTATTGAATTGTACTTTTGAGGGAAGTTAGTTAGGTAGGGAATCGGTATATTGGGAGACGAGTTTTATGGTGTGAAAAACACAATTCAAACGCCCTCGAGGTGTACGTATGTGTGCTATTGTATCTTGATTCTTACTGTATAGATAGAATTAACAAAAATCTCGAAAATATTGCACTAGGTTTTCAGATCCTTTTACCTCAATCTTTATAATGCAAAAAGTGCTGCACTTTGAGTATAGCTTTGGTGTGTTCAGGTACCAAAAGTTAAAGTATATACTATAATTGATGGGCATTATAAATGCTGAATGAGAAATGTTAACTTTAGTTTGAGATGGACTATATCTTGATCACAAGCGGTTTCAAAATTCAAATTTAGAGAGTATTAAACTACACATGTAAAATCCAATTCACGTAACGTGTTCTGCGGACTTGCGATCTAATAATTTCTGGGGCAGTTTATTGGTCCTTATGAATGAAAAGAGCAAACGTAAAGCTTGGTCGTGTTGGTTTCTTATACCTACCCTTGCACGCGAAAATTAAATCTGCATAATTACCCCGTGTACGCTTTCCAGGGAATATCTTCTGATCTGTTTGATACTTTTATTTATTTTATCGAACTTATTTTTTTCCATAGAGCATTTTATGCAACATTCGTAATTTCGTCATTATAACCGCGATTATAACATAACATAACAAATCGGATACTAAAACCGTAATTAATACTTAATTCAACTTACGTGAAGTAATGAAAAGCAAAATTTTGACTCGACCACGGATTACTCGTACAATATCGTTGTATAAAAGTATGAACGTGACGTGTCGTTAAATTCAAGAAAACTACTTTACGATGCGCAAGTAACTAAATCTCTATTGATCTAATCAATTCAAAATATAAATTAGCTAGTATGAGCAAATGCTTCGGAGCAAAACAAATAAGGTAACTAAACATTGTAGATATCAGTCTCGGGCCAAGTCTGGGTAACTTCAAAAACTAATTCACAACGTAACTGTAGCTAATATCGGTTAACAAACTAATATAAAGGATATGAAACGTAGAAATGGTCGCCAGGTAATGTTTGTAGAATGAGGTAGGCACACAGCTCTGTCCTAAGTTTCTAATATTGGTAGAATGAAGTAGAATTGCGTGCTTGAATTGACAAGATGGCGATAAGATTTTTCAATGGAACTTTCCGTGCGCAATATTGAGAAAATCCAAAATTCTGCGGTTTCCACCAAGGAATAACGATGTGGAAAGCAATAATCAGGTCGTTAATAATTAAAAAAAGGAGTAATCCAGAAGTCAGAAGCTTAAAAAATGATTATTCAAAGTCAAGGGTAATGTTTTGTTACATATCGAAAACGGCCTTAGAACTTGTAAAATATAGCCGCAAACAGCGTCAGCGAAATATCTGGTTTTGTGCAAAGAAAGGAATTAAGGAACGGCCTCGGGCGGTAAAACAAAGAACTATGCAAAAGAAACCTACACCAGATGACATTTAGTGGCAAACTAAAGAACTAGGGTAATAAGAAATCTACTACAGAAAAAAACTTACATCTTATTAAACGGGTTTACAAAGGGAATACCTAGATGGCGTAAGAATACTAAATAAAACCTAACAATACGCTACTTGGAGTACAATGTTATGAAGCTGCAATACCAGTAATACCTCTTTGATGGAGGTGAGTGTCATTTTAGTTCCCTCTTTCTGGTATTGGGCATTTGTTGTTTGTTGGATGTCACTTTGTATAGTGAGGAACATCAAATGTATTTTTCTGACGATGGGTAAAAAATACATTTTAACTACACGCAATTTTTAAGTAGGAGTTCAGTAATGCGACAGTACCGACAATACTGTAACGTATAAATTTAATATTTCTCATAATTTAATTAATTAATTTTTTGGCGAAAGGGTGTTTTAATAATCATCTTTGTTTCAGCTGATATCTTCAAGACCATCGTCGGAGACGGAAGAGAATTCGTCACAATTAGAAAATGCTTCAGATCTCGAGCAGGTAAGCGTTGCCGATTATAAAAACGCAATTTTGTCGTTTACTTTAAACACGCCAACGTTGTGTGCCTTATTCCTATTATCTCACGTAAAAGCATAAGCCTATTAAATCTCGAAATTACGATAATTAATTACGAGCCGAGAGTTAAGCTCTTGAAAGAGAGCAGCTTTTTCCGACGGCGGCGCCACCACCGTCGCGAACTGCAGGCAAAGGCGCCTTTTCAAGGAGGAAATAAAGCGTCGCCCGTATAGGTATAGGTAGAGGCGTCAATAAAGGAACCGATATGGTGATTGAATATATAAATATTAAGGGATTTAAAAAATATTTTTCGTCCTAAAACAACAGATTCATGACGTTCTTGGATTCTCAGAATGTTTAATAACGGAAGGGGAAGCGAGATTTGCGAATGAATAATGCATTGTTGATTCAGAAGCGGGATTTAAAAAGACTTGCAAATGCGGATTTACCCACAAATTACAATAAATTACGTATTACAAGCAGACTTCCTAAATTAAATAATGCCAATTTTAATACAATGTAGACAACGTTTTGTACATGGCAGTCATTCATAAGAGAGATAACGAAGTTAATTAATTTAAATTGCGAGTAGAGTTTTTGTCGTGCTCTCTTTGTCGCAGGTATATAGGCTTTGTGCCAGACATTTTTGAATGCTGTTGTCTCATATTTTAAACTAAATATCTTAATTAAACTAAACTGTGTCCATCACTTACTCCCGATGCTTTTTATTTATACGTACACACGCTGTCGCAGTTTGCTCCTTAGTTTACAACCAAGCATTTCTGTACGACAGATGCATATTAATTGTAAAAATACTTATGAATCGATTTGGATTATTATACCTATATTGACAATCTTCAAATTGCAATCTACGCCATTGATGATTAAAACACACCACTTTGCACAATTTTATATAGGGCCAAAATAAGCATTTTTAGACGCCCCCGGCCCTTCCTTAAGTTGCATTTTTTAATTTCTGGCATTTCACTTTTGTGAATGGTATTTTACGACTGCTCCCAACAAAAAAAGGACTGCTCGAATCTCCGAAAACAACACATTTTACCAATGAACCATCGCTCTCGAATAGGAGTGCTACTAGCCCATTGTCTAATTGCTGTTCAGTCAACAAATACTGAGCTGTATTACAAAAAATGCGTTTTCATCATGCATATGCTTTACAACTTGTTTAAGCTGTTCCAGATCCAATTACTTCATTTTCCACAAAACTCACGGACAAAAGTCCTGACACGGTCGCCAAATATTATAATTATGCCCCTATTGAGACTCACGAATGTCAACCGAGATATACAGACACGTTTTCAAGAGTGGAAGTGGAGCCAATTTAAGGATATCTCTGCATTTTGACAATTTTTACAAACTTATAACATAACCTCTGTTTGTTTTTAAACAATATGCCAACTGTATTACTATATTAAAGTGTATGGCACGATATGGAAGATATCACAACTCTGTAGAGTGTAGTTATTTTCAAGCAACGCAAAGCTTATCCCAACGATGGCAATTAAGATGAGCCTTGTGTTCTCTAAAGCGATATTTAGCCCAGTTGATTACAATCTTTATAATTTGTTTATATAACCCTGATTTCGTCATTTGCACCACATTCGTATTAGTTAACCAAAATTAATCACCCGGTAACGTTTTAAGTATGCAACGCAACTCGCCAGAAAAGAAATGCGAATAATGGAAGCAATTTATTTTTCTGTTTTGTGAGTAAGAAGATATACAGTCATGCAAAGAAAATATCAGTTTGGCCGCTTAGCCTACAAACAAAATAGACCTTTTCTCTCCAATTCTTATTGGAATATCGCGGCACTGACGGAATTTTATTTTTCACAAGAGCACCGCTTTGGTAAACAAGAAAAGGTAATACGCCGAGGGATTCTGGCCGTTTATCTTTCGTCTTAGATTTAATTAGACGCAATCGATATAAATTAAAAAATATAAAACGCGAAGAGTAGGTACACAAAAATTTCTAAGGAGATGTTCAAACAATGCGGGTTTATCATAATTTTATAGGCGTTGTCACGTCGCGACGTCGTCGGCGTCGCTATTTTTACGTTGTTTGGTTTAAAAACATTTCGGGAAAATCTCAAAAGGCGATTACAGAGACAGCAACAATGCGGCGTGGAAATATTGTCGCATTTTGTCATCTCTTGAACTGAATGAAAAGGAAACAGATCTTTTTCGTTCTTGATTCAATGCGCCAGACTTTATCGGCCGAAGTATCGTAATACGAAACTAAAATTTATTTAATTATAGAGTAACATCGGGCACAAGTTGTTCTGTACTGCAGGAAACATAAAGTCGATGTATTGATTCATACTTTAATTCGTGTTTCATTGTTTTATTAGCTATCGTGATGCCGATAAAATATAAATCAAATTTTCTCTATTTAAAAATTGTTAAATCGACGTGGAATTGGAGGACATGAGAAAAAAATGTGACAAAAAGCACAATAAAAAACGAACGAAGTTAGAAGTTTATAGGATGTCTGTGAAGTTGGCCCAAACAGAATAGCCCGGCAGCACCGCACCATGCTAGACCGTTAGTGCCGTGTTAGTGCTCGTTAATGGCTCATAAGTTAACGTAAAGACCGTTTTCTAAAAATAATAATTTTTGTTCGGACCATCTTCACGTTTGCCCGGATAATGACTCCAATTTGCATCATATTTTGTCAATCGTTAGTGTTCTGTTAGTGATTATTAGTGCTTTGTAATTTAACGTTAGGAACCAAACAGTCTTCTCAGAATAATTTTTGTATTGGTTCGGGCCCACTTCAAGTTTTCCTGGAAAATAACTCCAATTTGCACCAAATTTGTAAACCGTTAGTGCTTTGTTAGTGTTTCAGAATTCAACGTTAGGACCCAAACTGTTTGCTTAAAATACATTTTCCTGTTGGGGCAAACTTCATTTCTTACGTAGATATTTTCACATTGACATACACTGGTTACTCTGTAAATGAATTGTTAAAACAGCAGAAATATAAAAGATAGTATATTAGAAATAAAGTTGTATTGTTCAAATACTTACTAAAAACTAAAAACATGCCAGGCTCAGCTTCCTCTGGAAATATATAAAAAAATATGGAATTTCTTTTACCGAGTACTCCCTGTCAGAAAAATCATCAGGAACAAATCATATAAATATATTATATATAAAATATAACCTCATATGGCATTTATGACATATGAGGGAAATATTCAAATTAATGTCGATAACTGCAATTTATCATTCTTCACTTGGTGAGCACTGGTAGGTGGTGCAAATCTCGTGATAAACTTCGCAACGTAAGATCCATTTTGGACGCCCGAAGTCGACCATTGCAAAACGTGGTTATTTTCGCCACTATGAAAAAAAACAAAATTCCGTCGCCTAAGACGCTTAAATGAATAGGCACAGGGCAGTTTATGTTGCTCCCAAATTGCATTTGTTAATAACAGAATACGTTTCTAATGCGTTGTTTCTTCTTTTGCGCGTTCTTTCTTTAAGCTCTAAAACAGCCCAGTTTTCTGGTAAAATTAGAACAACAAAGTTCTTTATTGGATTGACCGTAAGTATGTCCGCATGGTTATTAGTGTTCAATTGATGTTTCTTAGGACCCTCCTGACTCATTGCTCGAATGTAGTATTTTTAGTGCATTTTCTGTGTTAAAAAAATGTGCTGGGTAGAAATTAATGTTACCTTTCAAGGTATGCTAATTAAACGAAAGGAACCGTTTTCTACCAAGTACCGCCCGTTTCCGACTCCTTATCGACAGAGGGGGATGGGGGACTGGTTTTTTACTGCATGGTATTTTAACGAAGGTCTCAACGAATTCATTTCTACCGACGATAGTTCTCCTCCTCGACTCCTTATCATGATGGGATATAATTCCTTATTTATCTGGAAGAAATATATCCGTTGGTGATGACAAAATTAATCTATTGGTGAAGTCGAAGCGAATAATGTCTTGAAAACGGAGAGTCGGAAGAGGGCAAGTGGAACGTCAGGGCGAGACATATACATTTGGAGGAGGGTACTCCCCAAAGGGCGGAAAGATCGTCTGAACCAGACGCATCTACCTCCGATGTAAAAACTTAATTGTGATTTTCTCGAAAATGTTGGTAGAAGTTATACCTGCAAGTGGAGGATGCAATATTTCGGAAATTTTGAAATGTATAGATTTTTTGATTTTTTTATCACAGGTCAACACGATTTTTGACTTTGATAAGAGGGTATGAAATTTTGATAAATTTGTTGATAGTTAGACGGAAAAAATATATAGGGCCTGAAACTTTTGTTACCAGGAGAGCCGTTGGCCAGTATTTTAGAAAATCAAGAATTGAAATTTTTATTTATTCATAAATCGAAACAAATGTAATTGTATGTCACTATTAACTTTTACTATCATATCAAATTAAAAATAGTAAAAAAAATGTAATAGTGAATCCTATTACTCTTTTTTCCGTGTTCATAAGTACTTTCTCTCACTAAACATCAAATATAGTCCTAGTCCCCTGTGGAGAAGTGAGTGTGCTGTATAATAACAACGATTTGAGTTTTCATATAGTATTGAAATTTTACAATCTTCTCCTCAATAAATAAGTAAGAATCAAATTTTCTACATCCCCCATCACACTTTCGTTGTATTTCCCTGATAATGTTGTTCAAAGTTCATAATATCTTGATGACAACGTTCTCGTTTTTCTGAGTACGCCCTCATATAACAAATAATAATAAAAATAATCATATATTTATTCTTTTTTTACAAAAAATCGTTTATCTTCTAAAGAACTTTTGTAGTTACTACAAGTAACATGTGCAGCCCAGGAGCTGTCTACATCCCTAACGGCGTAGTTAAAATAGGTTTCGTAGGGTTCACAAAGCTTTTTACAGGAATTTAAATAAAATTTTGTCTCTCATACTTTAACAAAATTATACCAATACCACATAGGTATATAACAAAATGCATCAGCATTATATTTACACTTTCTTGACCACATTTTAACCTCTGAGTTTTCTAGAAAATATTCAATTGTTGTTTATCACTTAAGTGCTATCTGTAGACACTGTGAAAGTTAAGACAGTGTTTTGAAATACTCCAGAACTATTTGATATCTCTATATGATAACTCAAGAAAATGAATTATTATCATAACTACCACAAAAGCAAACTTTATATAGAAAATGGGTACTATTCCTTTGTTCTGGAGCAACTATTTGTAGTATACATGTAATGTACGGGGTTAAGTGGTAGAGCAGACTACGGTATTTTACTGTGGAACTGAACTTCGCCCCATTTCACCATTTTTAACTGTATTTTTCTTTTTTCGCCAATTTAATAAAGACATTATTATTATTATTATTATCAGTGTTTCTTGTGAGAACTCAGGTCTAGCCTGGTTAACTAATCGCATGGATTAAAATCAAGTAACGATTAGTGTCTGTGTCTGTGTCTGGTGAAGTTATGTAGGGTCCTAAAAAAAATTATTATTATTATTATTATTAATGATTAGAAAAATCATAAAATAAATTTTAGGACAACGAAACTACTTTAGAAACAACTAATTTCGTCTCTAAAAAGGGTGAAGAAAATCCTCTCTAGTGGGGAAAGTAAAAAACAATTGCTACGTTAATATTAATAATGACATTTAAAATTGAAACATACATAGATTACTAAGTGCTGCTGCTAACAAGATGAGGAAATATCAGGAAATTATCAATGCAGGTTACCAGTTTTTACCTTTCGGTGTTGAAACCCTTGGGCCACAAGAGAGCACCGTTCGAAAACATTCCTAATTCAAAAAATTAGTCTGGCCATTCAGCGCGCCAATGCTGCTAGTGTTATGGGCACTTTTCCTTCTACAATATCTTTAGACGAAATTTTCTTCCTCTTTTAAATCTTTAAACCTTTTTTAAATGTTCGAATTATTTTATATAATATTTAAATAAAATCAATTGATATTAAACATTTTTTTTTTAATTAAAAGGCGAGTATGTAACTAAATACTTCAAATAAATTATATTCTTTTCTTTTCCTCTATTTCAGACGATCAGTTTCATGAACAAAGTAATAAATCTATCAAAAGTGATGGTGTCGCCATAGGCTTCCTTGGCAATGCTCTTCTTAACTGGATCGTAGCTGGTCCTGAAATTTCAAGAACTATTTATTTTTTATTCATTTCTTTTTTTATTTATCTATTTTTGTCTTTATTTTTGAGTGGGCGGGATTTCACCCCAAGGCTGCTCTGTCAACCCAACCCACTATACAATTACAAATACCCATGTCCGAAAGAGGTTGAGAATGTGTGGGATAATAACTTTGACCGAAATATTCGAAAGATTCATCATGAAGATACCCGAGCATTTGAAACTAAATTAATTTGTAGCTCATACCAAAAGCATAATAAATATAATAACTAAGCGTGCAGCTGATAATAGCCACAAATCCGTAAGCAATCGGGCAGTAGACTCACATGCTTTTTCAAATTTTGGAAATATTGGTATTGATATTGATTTTGGAACTGAAAAAAATCGTAGGTTAATAGGCATCCACGACCTCTGTTCTCATTTATCAAAGGAGATCTGTAGTTATTTGGCTATTTCATTCAGTAACGGGCTGCGATACTGTGTCATCATTTTGTGGAGTAGGCAAGAAAGGAGCTTGGGAGATATGGATGGCATACTATAATATTCAATTCTCTTTTGAGCAGCTGCTAATGGGAAGACTTCCAGATGAGGATATGATGCGTATCGTGCAAAGATTTATGATTCTTTTGTATAATGCAACATCTCCCTTAAACACAGTTAATGAGTGTAGACGATTCTTTTTTATTAAAAAAAGTAGAGCAATTGAGATTATATCTACCTCCAACGGAAAATGCTTTACCTCAGCATATCAAGCGAGCCACTGTTCAAGCTCTTATATGGAAAAACTCTCTGGAAAAAGACTATCAACCTCCTTCCCCCGATACCTTGGGGATGGGAAAAGCTAATGATGGGTTTCAGCCCTTGCGATCTACGGTGCGTTAATAACTTTTGTTATTGTTTTGTTATTTTGTTATTATATTTGAAAATGGACACGAATATGCGGTGAAACGTCAAATTTTTAATCATGTATTAGTATACACCACGTATATCTATATACCGGTTTTAATTTAATACAATTTATGACGTTTAATTGGATATCTATATGCTTCAAATCAGTTTCTTGGTTCCTACTTAGAAAGCGTCATTACTGGAGTTGGGGAATCCGAAATTTTTGGGGTCTGGGGCATATACCTACAGTATCCCAATCCAAAAGTTCACAATCGCCTCCAACACTGAAATATTTTTATGATTTCAATTCAATATCCGATCCCACTTTCAGAATACAAATTTTTAAATGTAGTAGGGGTTTCAGAAAACGGTTTGAGTCCTAACGTTGAATTGTCAAGCACTAACCATTTGCAAAATTCAATACAAATTGGAGTTATTGTCCGGGAAAACGTGAAGTTGACCCTAACAAAAAAAAATTTATTTTAAGAAAACGGTTTGAGTCCTTTTACGTTAACTTATGGGGCACTAACAAGGCACTAACGCCACTAACGATCTAGCATGGTGCACGGTGTTGCCGGGTTATTTTGTCCATACCACCTTCACAGACATGTTTATAGGTAATATCATTGAATAAAAGTACTATGTAACACCTATATGCCACAGAGATAAAGGAAATAACGATCACCATTCAATGATTGGTAAAACTAACATTATTTTATTCAACTAAGAACATGAAATATGTCCGCAATGAGAGCTTAATACGAAATACCCTAATTTTTAACCACATTTTCAAAACACGGAGCAGAAACAGGTCACTAATCGGTCAGGTAATGCCTACGTTTCCCAAAAAAAAGCTTTTTAATTACTACCCTTGTACCCAAGAAACCTCAATCTCAGTGACCGCTTTAGAGAATTATTTCGTAAACTATGCCTAAACAGATATTCATTAGATTTAACGCCGTCAAGGATTAAGCCTCAAGCTCTAAACTCGCATATACGAAGAGGCATAAGCAATATATCCTATACTTGCCATACTTTCCCATCCGAAAATGCCCTACATGCATGCGAGAGTTTCACATATTGAATTGTTTCAGAACAACTCCGAGTTGGATGTGGCTTCGTCGAGATGGTCGGAGTGGTCAGAATGGTCTCCCTGTTCACGATCCTGCGACGGAGGGGTAGCGCGTCAATTTAGAAAATGCCAGGCGTTAAAATGCAGAGGAGAGTACGTCCGTTATAAAATATGCAACATGCAGGTAACTTCCTTAAATTAATCGTAAAGAATGAAGGGAGAGACTTTTTTTATTCGAATACTTGTCGGTTATGCCCCTTTCTTCAGAAATTACGCTCCAGATAATCCAACTCGTAAGTTGTGAACTGTGAAATGTAAATTCGCGCTTCGACGAAATTACCTTCTGTACCTCATTACAATTAGGAAAGTTGTTTCTACATTTAGAATTAGTTTGTGACAGATGGAAGGGAACAACGATTCTAAACGGACGGTTAACATGCTTTGCAAAGGTTTAATGTTCGGTGTAAAATTGTACTAGCGAAATTGAGCAGTTTGGTAAAATTGCAATCAAACCTTTACTTCTCCCTAGGTAAATTTGGTTTAATTTTATGACGCAAAAACTTAAATGGTTCAGGTTGCCTTCTTCAATTTTTACAACAGAAGGAGCATAGTGGAATCATCAGTTGTCACATCACATTGGGTGGTTTTAATCGATTCGGTAAAGTAATTGGTCAGTAAAATAGCGCATTTCAGATACCTAAACGTAAAAAATGCACACAATTCACAAAAGCATAAAACGTACTTTTTCACTAAATCCGCCCCACGTGGTATCAACCACCTTTTATAAATTTTTTACAGAAAATGTCAAACAAAGTAGAGTAAATCGTCACAATTCGAACCCAAAACCAGCTCTGTGCCTTAAAAGGCATTTCGCCTATTTCTCCGAGTCGTCACTTTACCAGTTTACCCAACTAGGATTGCTCTGAGAGAAACTTGCGAAAAGCGGTTGCACATACCTACTTTTCTTGAGGAGAGCATTGAAGTTGCAGACCGATGCAATTGTCTATATTATCCTCGCCATTAGAGATTGCCGGTACGTCATAAGTAAATGACTCTAGCTATCCAAAACGTTTATAGTAAAGTCACATGAAAAACAGCACATCAAATAAAGACAGTGAATATTCGAAGTGCATTTGAAGGAAACGAAGTGAGTTATTGAATGAGATAATGTGGTAGAAAGAGAAAAAACAAAAACGAATAACCAATGCGTTTTGTAAACCGTATGAATTTGAACTCTCATTTGACTAAAATAGTTCTTCCGTACAGGTATTTGTTTGACAGTTGTGATTTTTAATTGTTTACCTGTCACGCACTTTTAAATCATCGGTTAAGCACTTTTCAATCGGTTCTTTTGAGAACTAATCCGTCACTTACGTGTATTAATCACTTTAATTTCTCTCTACGAATTCCCATGTCTGCAAAGGGTAAAACTTTGCATATAGAAGCACAACAGCTTGTGCTTAGTGCAACATTTTGAGAAGGAGAAAGAAAACGGTGGTCCATTGATACCCGTATCTGCTGTTCAAGAAGTAAGTGTGATTATATATACTTATATTTTCATTTAGTACAAACACACAAATTATAGCGAGTGGCCAACGCTTTGGGTATATTTGAGAGGACGGTGCGAAGCATCAAGACAAGAGCGGCATCTAACCCTGTTTTGGAAAGCCCGGGTAAGAAACGGCCCCGCAAGAGAGCCAAATCTGACCTGTTTCGTTAAAACATTTCTACACACGTTCTATACTGCGTAGGGTAGAAGGAGGATCAACATCAGGATCCAGTTGAGAGAGGCTGCTTATTTCTCATTTCTGATTCCTAGTAATGTAACATTGTGCTAAAAATGTAAAGAAAAGTATAAATATGAAATAGAAGTAGAGTGACAGTGACAGTCCTATATTATAATATATTTTGAACATAATTAATATCCATTTAGTGTATCATTTTGAATTTATCCTTATTGTAAGCTATCATAAGTAACAGTGAGTAACTTTGAAAACTGGTAGTCTTGCAATGTGCAGCTGGGTGTATGAAAATCGTATAACCTATAAATTGAATACTCTAATTGTGAATTTATAATTCTTTATCGGCAAACTCACTTATGAATGCAAGACCCGACCATTGTAATAATTCTGGCGTAGCGTAATTACTAAATGTTCACATTTTTGGAAAAATTGTAATGAGGCAGCTTACAACAATGGGTTTATCTTACGATATGGCCTGTAAAAATAACGCATTAATGACCTGTTAGATTACAAGGATTTTGTTTTCTCACCGTCTTTATTACGTTGTATTTTATTAAAACCAAAATCGACTAACGATACTTTCTGCGATTTGACAGTTTTGCACCTTCAAATAAACATCCAATAAATGACAGCTGTCGCCATCTCGGAGTATATTTTCTAATCAAGTTGGCATTATTACGGAAGTAATTTGACTCATATTTTTCATATTAAACCATACGATTGTGAACTATGACGTACCGGCAATCTCTAATGGCGAGGATAATAAGTAACCTTTATATACGAAAATACAGAAAACTTATATTTTCAGTTAGATCAATATGTCCTGAAACAGCAGAGAATGTCCGTCGTGGTTGGTTAAAACATAAAATAGTATATACAGAGATGGGCAAAAGTTTAATTTCAAATAAATATCTCTGGGGTTTTAAAAGAAATCGAATGAAATTTGGTAGGTACATATTATACTACTCTTTGTAATCGTAAAAGAGTCTACTGTTAAAAATTAAAATAAAATACAAGGTGTTTCATTTATACATTTTTTAAATAGACATCAATTCCTGTTAAGCCAGGCAATCAAATTTAAAAAAATTTTCGTTGAAGGACAATATAATTTGAAATAAATCATGGTGTATATATAAGGAGAAGTGCATGAACTGCTGAGGCAATAATATGGTCGATGAAATGCGAGAAATAGACGGACGCCCTTGCCTCAGTGGAGTCTTATGTCTCGATGTGCAATAATTGAATTGTAGGATACAAGAAAAAGGGTTTTCACGAAAGAAAAATGTAATAAAATCGACCAAAAACATCCCAATTTTAAATTTTTTAACTTGATATTGCTGTGTGCCCCACGTTGGGCGCCAAATCTGCAATGGAAAACGGTCACTGAGCCACAAGCTAGCTTAATTAAACACAAACACTAATAAAACCTTTAAAAGAAATAATTATAATTTTTCCCATTTTTTCAACTCCGCGATAACACGTGCTTATCCTGGAATTTAATTAGCGTACACAGTGATAAGAAAACTTCTTATCTACGATCGGAGAAAACCATGAGATGAACTTTTACAAATACTATACAAATAATTTCAGATGTTTAAATCTAATTTTATAACACGTAATTTCTCTACAATTAGCGCAAAAGCTTCGCAATTACTCTCTTATTAATTCCCAAAACCACTAAGTATATCAACATTGTATTTTTTCGCTGATTTCAATAACTTAATGCCACGCTATATTCGAAAAATAAGCTACATACACAATTTTCTCGCGATATTTTAATCCAATCTATGCCCACCACTCATTTAAATAAATTTCAACCAATTCCGACCCATGCACGGGCTCCCAAACACTTTCGAATAACCAATACTTTAGAAAGGCTGACACACGAATTCTTTCCTGTTTTTTTGGAGCCTAGGGTCTTGTAATTAAACACTTTGGATTGCAAGTAACAAGTACCAGGTACTGTAGTGAGTCAGGAATAATTACACTTGCCTATTATTAAATATTAGATTATACTGAACCCTAGATTTTACGTTTTACGTCTTGTGGTAGTTTAAGTTACAATTTTTGAGATCGTCTGTCTGTCAGATCTTTTATTTGAAGTAGCACAGAGACAAGGTAAATTAAAGACATCGTAAGAGTGAATTAGGTTTATTCCTTAATATTGGAAATAAGCTAATTTCATTTACAATCCACACAAACATTTCACAATAAATGCGCCATGGAATAAACAATTTCCCTCGGCAATCAGAAAACGCGTATCTGAAACCGTGTTTCTTGTGCCAACATTTACTTTACGTTTGAGTAACCGAGCGTAGGCAATGGTTCCGAGTCTTCTGGCACTTATTTAGATAGCATTTTCCACACTACTTGCACCATCTCTTCACCTAGCCGAGCGGCGCGTACCAACCCGCAATCTTTTGGGCGAGATTTCCATAATAAAAATAACATATTGGCTCTGTATGCCATGTTATGTGTCCCGATAAGTGTGGTGTTGGGAGGAGAGCCTATGCTAACATCTTTTTCGTTGACTGTGCCCCTTTTAATTTCGGTCTAACGAGTGAACGCATAAATGACAGTACTCAGGACCTATTAACTACGAGAACGTGGACTGGTTGGGGTAGGGGTTGAAAGCACGAAGTTGGAGGCTGTATTGGCCCAAATAATAGGGAAACAATATTGGGCGTAGTTCAGCCTAGGGCTACTTCTCTCTGAACCAAAATTTAAGGCACCATTTGACCATATACTCTCAGCCGTAATAACCAATTTAAAACCCACCTAAAACCAGTGTAACATGCTTTGGAACACTTCAGATACAATTAAAATATGTCAATTATAAGAGGAGAATAGTTAATCCTTTCAGTTAAGTTAATATAATTTACCCGCAGCTTGCGTAATTAGCAAACTTAATTCCATTTTCAATTACAAATAATTGCAGCCGAACGCATAGTTTTGCGCGGCTTAATTTTCATTAATAATAAAGCACATACACAAATCTATAACTCCCAACTTTAATTCTTTAAGCCCGTCTTTGACCAACTCCCGAATTTCTTGCGTTTATTCATATCAGACTACCCGCAGAATTATATAGGATCATACCTACTTGAAAATATGTCTCTAATTCAATTAATTTATGTTAATTGAAAATAATTGCCTTGTAATGAATTAACTGCACATGTTTCCCCTATACGCTTGACTACCCCGCGAACGCTTTCTTTACAAGTTACATCCCTTAAGAACAACAAAAACAATCAGACATGCTAGAAACGTAAATTTTTCGCCTTTATTGTTTTTTCTCATAACCGAATTATGTTTGTGCCCCACGTCGTAAGTTATTAGTTTATATCGTACGCTAGCGACTCTGTTTTGTTTAAAAAAACTGGTTTATTCGCATAAAGGGCACGTATTAATAATAACGAGGGTCCAACATAAACGGGAGACC